ATCATGCAAGAAAGAGTTGTTGCTTTGCTCACCCCCCAAAAGAGGGTGATCAGAAGGTTCCTCTTAGAACCCCAGACACTGGGTGACACTTGCGGTCTCCATGTGCTACATCCTAGAGACACAGTACAGTATGCCCAATAGTACAGTACGCACAGCACTGGTGTCTCTGGAGTGAGAGGGTGTACACCACATCGCCTTGTTCTCCCCAGCTTGCTTTTTCCTGGGCCTTGTTGAGACCTGCTATTCCCAGCTTTGTAAAAAACACCCATGTCATTCCCATGCTGATAAAACGCCCAGCCCTACAGCCTTAAAGGAACACACATGGTTTCCTAGCTGACTTCTGTCACATGCCATGGCTGGTGGGCTGGACTAGGCCTTGGGGTGACTGGCGTTCAATTCCCCATCCTGCCATGAGGCTCCCTTGGTGACTGTGGGCCAGTCAAGCCTTTCAATCTAACCCACCTCATAGGGTTGTTTGGACGTAAACACCAGTGTTGGACATGTGAGCTATGTGGAGGAAAGGCAGACTATAAAGGTGATACCTACTCTGAGTCCTTGGAATCAAGAGGTCTTAAAGGCTACATTAGCAGTACATACTTTCTCCCCTCCCTGCAAGTGAGCAAACCCTGAAGTCTGAAGACTAAATAGCTGGATAGAGAATTCTGGGTCTCTCCACTTGCAATGCTCAGGAGCTGAAAAACTGGCCTGTAATCGGTTTCTCTTAATGTTTCTGTTAATCATTAGTGAAGGTGGCGGTGGTGTCTCCACAGAGGCCTACTAGCCCCTCCAACTCCCCAGGCACCAATGGGAGCAAAATCTGCATCAAAGAAATGGTCCCACACCCTTCCTCAACAAGGCCAAGGTGGGATTCTCCTCCCTCCCTCTCTGTGAGTAGCAGGTGGGACACACAAAATGCACATTTTTGCTGCTTCTCACTGTGTTTTTTTGCAGAGTGGAATAGACGCACTGGCACCTAACAACATACAGTATTAAAATCTTAGTTTTCAGTGCCAGTTTTAAGAGCTCTCACTTCTGTCTTTGGGGACATTTGCAAATAGCTTCTCTCTAGAAGGCAGGAAGTGACTTATCCAGATAATGAGAGGATCCCATACAGGGCATATGACTGGGAGGAGCAGGAAGACCATTTGGCCGGAGAGGCATATTCTTAGAGGGCCTGAGAGCACTGAAGCAGGTCAAGAATTACTATGGGCAAGATCACTAGGACCGCTTTGCTATGCTTGACAAGAACTGTGAGGTTGCAAGAAAGGCACTTTCCCCCCATAATAATGGGTATATTTGCCCAGAAAAAAAAAAGCTAGGAAAGCACTTGCTAAATAAGAAAGGGAGATTACAAATTATAGCATTTTATCTTTTGTGTTAAAAGCATGAATTCCTTAAATGTAAACATCTAAAATATAACCAGTTTTGTAACTCTGTTTTGGCAATTTCCAGTTTTTAATATCCTGGGAGGGCTTAAAAAATGGAAGCTCTCTGAGAGGGCCTCTTTCTGTATGCTATTTTTCCACAGAGTTCTCTGTAGGAGTTTTGCCCCTTTTGGTTATACCTCTAGATTTTCCAGCACATCCGCCCTGCGTGTGGGTGCTGTTATTGACTACATAATGGTACACACTCTCTCAACAAATTTTAAAAACAGCTTGCAAGATAGAAGGCTGAGTCAGGTCAGCCAGCCATCTGCTTCGCGCAGAAAACTGGGTTCAGAAGAATGGTGGTTAGTGTTTTAGCACCCAGAGCACACCTGGACTTTTGGCTAATTAATTTTCTTTTAGCCTCATGAGTTTGTTTTCTGATATTTTGTGACTGGCCACTTCCATCCTTTCAGCCATTTTGTGAATGGGAGAAATTCCATCCATGTTGCCTGAGGATTATGGGAGTTGCTGCTGGAGGGCACCATGTTCCCTGTCACAGAAGCCATCTATCTGCATGGATCTCTAGGTGTGCTAGAGATCAGCAGCACAATCCTATGCAGGATTAATAAGATGCAAGTCTTTTGCAATTCAATGTCTTGCTCCCAAATTAGGTGCCCACAGAATTGTAAACTTTGTGCCCTAGTACAAGGGCCTGAGTTTCCCCCTCCCATGAAACTTTCATTAGCCTTTAACAGCTAGATGAAAAGTGAGATGTGTTTTCTAATACTCAAATCTAAGTACCCCCATTAATCTTCTGCACCAGGAACTTCAAACTGCTGCTACAGCTTAAAGCAGGTATCATCAGTGGGGCACCCATGGGCACCACCAATGGCACTCAACGTGCTGAAAAAATAAAAAGGTTTTCACCTGGCACTTGGGGCCCACCCTTTGCTCCTTTTGGCACCAGGTAAAGGCCTTTTTATTCTCCTGCTATTTTAATTGTTAAGACTTTTATATTCATCTTTTACTGTACCTCTGAGATTGTTTTAGCCACAGTGGCAGAAGGTTGATTATTGTATGATTGTCTTATTAATTATGTCATTGTGATTTTTATCATGTGTTTTATATTAACTAATGTAATTTTGATTTGTAAACTTTCCAAGGAGCCTTTGGGCTGAAGGGTGGGGTAAAAATTTACTGAACACTTTTTAATTTTTAGGGGTATATTAATAGAGAGAAATATATACACAGATTTGTATATTTCTATAGCAAGAAAAACATATGAAACAAACACAACTTTCTAGCAATTATATATAAATTTCAAGAAATAAGTGTCTATTGCTATACTGAAAGTGCAGTAAGGTCCTCAATCCACTGCAGTAGAAAAGGTGTTTATTTATCCTTCCTATCCATCCTTTAGCTGTTGACAGGGCACAAAGATTCCCATTTCCTCTTCTATTTGTTAAAACTCCATGAGGCAGGTAAACAATTTTAAAGAGTGCAGACATCCATGAATATTAAAGACAAAGTTTGCTAAGTTTAGCTGTGTAAGGACCTCCTCTCAAAAAGAAGCAACTATTGGGTATTGCCAAAACAGATTTTAAATGGAAGCCTCAGCTGTATTGCACTGGCAACAATTAGCTGAATCAGAAAATCCCTTATTAAAGCAACATTGCAGTATCCAAGAGAAAGAAAACAGACGTCAACATGGCACAGCCTAAAATCCTAACTATGAGAAAGTGGGGGGGGGGGGAGGCGTGTTTCTGCAATTCCCAAATGTGCCCATGGGCCCTACAAGTTTGCAGATGCCTGCCTGAAAGCCTAGCAAATATACTAGCATAATCTTGTGTGGAAAGTGTATTGCATCAGATGCATGAAGTGTGAACTGGCTGATTTATGCACACGGGCTTTGTCGACTATTTTGTCAGAGGAAATTGCAGCAGTACAGACACACAGTCAGAAGAAAACACAGCAGAAAAGAAAACTCAGCAACTCCAACCGTGCTAAGCTGCAAAGTGGCAAAATGTACAAGCGACCTTGCAAGAACTACCTACTTCCCACCACAAGTCACCGGCACAACCTGACTACTTGGGGCTTGCAACATTTGTATCCGTCAAACGCTGCTGCAGAGCCAAACCCGGGGAGAAACTCCCTTCCAATAAAGTTGCTGCCACCCTCCTCCCCCCTCTCCCCCGTGCGCGCGCGCAGCTGCGCTCTGCCAGGCAATGTGAGTCACTCGTACCCACCCAGAGGTGCGCGCACATGGCGCAAACCGAAGAGACCCACACACGCCGCACCCAAAACCATGTCTTGCAGCAAGGACGGATCGGGCGGAGGCGGGCAAGCAGATCTGACCCACCCAAAAGACGTCGAAACCTCGGACCACGGCGCTCATAATCCCGACTTCCGACCATCCTGGCAGAGGATTATGGGAGCAGTAGTCCGAAACATCCAGCGGACACTACGTTGCCAAGCTCTTATGTACAGCGTCCCAATTATCAGAAAGAGGCAAGTCCGAATCCTGGAAACTTTAATGCGCAAGTCACACGGAACTCGGGAAAGTTACTTCCGAGCACATGCCTGGGATCGGGGCTGCAGACCGAACCAAGCAGACGCGGGAAAAAGACGAGTCAGGCATAAAGGGCAGATAAATGCAACCAAGGGCAGTCAACGCCAGCCGTCCCCAATCTGGCGCCCTCCTGCTGTTTTGGCCTTCGAGTCCCAACATGCCTGACCACTTGCTATGCTGGATGGGGCTGATGGGATCTGGGATCCAAAATATTTCGCGGGCATCAAGTTGGCGAGCGCCACATGGACTGCGTACTCAGCCTTAACCGCTAACGTACTTGTGTGTGTGGGTGGCGCGGGGCAGACTGAAGGGCCAGCCTGCGACTCCACCTAGCCATCTATCGGGGTCCTTTGCCTAGCATGGGGACGCCACTCTCGGGCCACGATGCCCGCCATCAGCCGTCGTATCTCAGGCCACGAGCGGGAAGCGCCGTCGCCGCAGGTCCGCCTCTTTAACGGGGCACGTCACCTTCTCTCCAACAGGGCGTTTCCCGCCTAAGAATCTGCGGGCGCCTGGGCACCATGCGCACTTAGAAGCTTTTGGTAGTGTCGAGGGAATGGCGTGAGAGGGGGGCCGCAAGTGACCCAAAGCGAGCAGGCAAGGAAACAGGCACTCTACCTGTATTTCGACCGCGCCCCGCTGCTACAAGCGAAGTTTCAGCGGGTGCCGCCGAGGCACCAAACAGAGGCGCTGTCCTGCTTTTTCCCAACATAATAGGCAAGGCGGGGGTCGAGGGAACAAGCGGAGAGCAGATAAAGAGGGGCACCTCTTGGGTGGAGAGTGGGGGCCAAAATCCTCCCCTCGGTAATACATGTACGCACGCACACGATGTACATAATTTTCGCTCACACGAATTGCCATCCCGCACGGGATCAGTAACTTAAACTGTACTGCTCGAGACCCCTTTACCTGGGAGCAAGACCCATTGAACAAAGTGGGTTTGCTTCTGAGCAGACATGCATAGGATTACGCGCAATTTTTTCACCATTTTTCCCGCTCCCGGTACTTTCAGCACAATTCATCGCCGCTGCGCCCCAGTCTACCCATCCCCGTTGTTCGCTTACTATTTCCGCGGCGAGAATAATTCCCTTGTGAGACCGCAGGAACGTGCAGAACTGGTCCATGCACCCTTTGGAGCTGCTGGGGGACTCCATGGTACCGGGACGGAAAGACCCCTTCGGGGCGTGCAAGAGGCGACGGTGTCGGCTGGCTTTCCTCGCGGATTCCCCTCCTGGTCGCCTGTCGGGCGCGGGCTCGGCGAGCGGCGAAGGCGTGGAAGCCCGTTACTGAGGTGTGGTTGGCGGGCTGGGCCAAGCTAGCTGGGTAAGCGTCGCTACCCCGTAAAGGACAGCCGGAGGAGAGAGGCTGACTCGGAGCTTCCCAAAACAGAATCAAGGCAGGAAGACGCCTGGGAGGTGCTTAGAGGGCGACCGCCGCCTTGCTCTGCCTTCTTCAGGCTGCCACTCCCTGTGCACGCTGGCTACTTGGGAGGAAGCCCCGCTGCACGCAGCCATGTTTACTTCCGAGGGGTAGACCGTAACGCCGCGGTTCCGCGCAGCGCTTCGAACCCATTTCACTGCAATAACTTTATTGTGCACGTGTGCAGAGATCACGCGCACACGTGCACGCTTGCCCAGCTCTCCGGATGCCTTCGCCAGGCGAATGCTGCAAAAGACAAGTGGAAGGGCTGGGATAAGGGCCTTGGCAGAAAACTTCATTGATTCAGTTCAGTGGATAGGACTGGTTACACCTACTTGCACAAACCAGTGGAATGACAGGCAGAGATGAAATGAGGGCTCCCCAAGACGGAGAGCTCCATAACTTGCTCTTTAGTGTTAGGCTCCATGCCCAAAAATATGAAGGAAGTAATTCATGTATGCAGATCATGCCAGCTCTCCCTCCCTACCCCCACAGTCCTGGCACTACACTCAATTGCTGGTGACAAGTGGAAACTCCGCAAGTGAAGCTTCTTTCTGCACTTAGTAGGGTTAGCAAAATCAGAAGAGAGTTCATTTTGGGAAGGTGTAGGCGAACGTTTGCTAGAAGCAGCAGTCACTATTTTTGTAAAGTATGTGCCTTAAAATGGCAGGAAGATGAGCTTGTGAATTGCAAATCTGATCCTTAGAATCATGATGCCACAAAATGTTGGCCTCTTTTTCCATTTACTACTGTCAAAATAAGTGAAACTCTGCTGCAATATGGCTGCTGAAAGCCTGACACTGTAAGAACGGTTTTAGAATTCAGGTGGGATTCCTGAACCCTTTCCCAATCTAAATATGCTAAAATACACCTCTCCTGGAAGTTCTTCCCTATTTGTCTTAATCCATTCAACCCTGTTGATTTACTCTCATGTGCCTCTAGTAATTCTAGTAAGCCTAAGTAATTATCTATCCTCCCCCAAGCTGTGTATGTAACTGATAGGTTCAAAAGCACCTTGTACAGATTCCATCTTGGTAGGCTGTACTAAAATACAATTCTAAAAAAAAAATACAATTACAACAATAACAGTACACTTCAGTACAGGAGCAGTAAAATGAAACAGCATGGCTTATTTCATTATGGTCTAGATCAGGGGTCTCAAACTCGCTGCCTGCAGGCCAATTGCCGGGACGGGTGGGGCACGGGGGAGGGGCCCTGCAGCCTTCAAAGCGCCGGCGGCGCCCGGCCGGCTGCAGGATGAGCGGCCCACCACTAATGCGGTGGTGGAATACTTGATGCGGCCCAGCCTCACCCAGACTCTACTTCCAGCGGCCCCCAGGTAAGTTGAGTTTGAGACCCCTGGTCTAGATAAAGCCTTGGTGAACAGGTGTGTTCTCAGGAAGCATTTGAAAGGTGCCAAATCTTCTGCTTCCCAAACTGCACACGGGAGTTTTATTATGTCAGTCACAGCAGCATAAGCCCCAAAATCAAAAATAAGATAAAACAGCATAACAGTATAGTGAACATCAGCTAAACTGTATTAGTAAGATTATAAAAATAAAAACTTTTTTAAAAATAACAAATGTTTTATTTATATAGAAATAACACCCTTTCCTATATAGATGCTGAGGCATGTGGTGACGGGATATAAAAGTTTTAAATAAATATATATCAAAAGTAGGCAGGCATTGGGGCTTAGTCCATAGATAACTGGCTAACCCAAAGACTTTGTAAAAAATAAAAATGCATAAAATATGATCATCCTAATTAAGATTATTAGGATTAAAACATTATTAGAATAATAGATGTTACCAATAAAATACACATTATAAAATTTACATTATTATAATTGTTATAAGTATAACAATTTGTATAATTATAATTGTATTTTCATCACTATAAAACATGATGAATTTCTCATGTTTCAGAATCTCCCTGGCAGTTTGCAACAATAGATCTAGGTACTTCTTCAACAAAAATAATAGAAAATTAAAAAGAGGTTATATGAGGCTGGGCACCATGATCAAAAATTGTTTGAATCAGTTTCTAATTCAATTTCTCCATGGAAAAAATCAAACTTTGGCAGTAAAGTTGAGAATGTTTGCAGCCTTGAAGTACCCAGATGGCTTATTCTCTGTTCCTTTAGACTAGGGGTCCTCAAACTTTTTCAGCAGGGGGCCAGTTGAAAGGTGTCAGTGCTAACCGTGGGCTGGAAAGGTGAGGGCACACCAGCCGGCGAGGAGGTGGGGGCAGTGCATGTGGCCAGGCGAGGCGAGGCGTGGGCGAGCAGGCACGCACACAAGGTGAGGCAGACGCACGAGACAGCAACGTGCTCGCTTGGAGATCATTTTCTCTGAGGAAGCAAACCGCTGCCTCCCTGTGCGCGGGGCGAGGTGGGTGCGTGCATGGGCGCGGGGGGTCCAAATGGGCATGGCGGGCCGGATCCGGCCCCCGGGCCTTAGTTTGAGGACCCATGCTCTGGACATAGCCTGGGTAACCTAACCTTGGACTGCTGCTTTATTCTTCCCCAGTAATTTGCCATCCTGGCATCCATTAAACTAACAACCAATCCCATCCACAACTCTACTCTCACTAAACAATATGGGGTAGATTTTGAGACCCCTGTGATCATATGGAAAAAGCAATCCCAAACCCTTTTCATTTTAGTGAGATCCATTTATTCCCAAATTTCTGCACTGAATATTACCATCGGGATCGTCTTCCTTTATAAGTGTACAAGTAAACAAAATAACCCTGGATGTCTAAAGTTCAGCACTGAAAATGAAAAATTAAATAATGCTGTATTGTTTGCATGACTGTCAATAAAGTATATGCTATCACACTAAACCTAGTAGTACTGCTCCTTAAACTTCATGCTATTTGGGTAAGTGCAGATCATATAGCATACTATTTGTAGCTTTTCAAGGTTGTGTATTTCTGGTTGCCAACTTTTGAACCAGCCTCTATAGCAGTGTTTATTTCAGTTGCCTTATGTTTTATGCCACTCCTTAGCCAAAAGGGAGAGGGCTGTTAAAACACCTTACAGTCAGTTAGCAAAAACAAAACAAACAGACAACGCCCCCTGCCCCCAACTCAGCTCAATAGCTTACAGTCTAAAAGGGCAGAGTGCATAAGGAATAAGAACGGGGAGGGAAGAGAAAAAATAGACTCTCAGCAGGCTGCTGGAATATTTCTGCTTCTCCTCTCATTTCCAGGTGGGGGTGCATTCACCTGATGTTCTCTTTGTCTGTTTCTGTCTTCCTCTCTGCTTCTTTCCCACAGGGCACTTGATGTCAGTTAAGGAAGAAGACTTCTCTCCATGCTATGAAAACTTTGCATGCCTGTCCAGGCCGGCCTGGTCTTCTGCTCTGCTTATTTGTTTGTGGCCATTTTGAGAACACTGCCTGTCTTTTGGACTGGAGAACTACAAACTTTATGGTGATGAGATCCCTAAACACACGCCAGAGTTTAGAAGTCATTAATATTTTCTCTCTTTTTTAAAATCCTGCCTGATTTAGATCATTATGTCTGTGAACCAGCTTCTTGCCAGTTAAGATAACAAAGGCAGGCATTCTTTCTTAGAGTTGCCTACAAAATTGAGTGGCACAGAAATTACAATCAGATTAATTTGGGTGGAAATGTGTATGTTTGACAAGCACCTGACTCAGTTTCCTGTACTCAAACAGGAAGCTGAAAGTCTGGGTTAGCCACACTGATAACTGCTTCTGGAAAAAACCTTCTGGGTGCCCAGCTGGCAAGAGACTAACAGTATGATCTCATGCCAAAAGATTAATAGTATGATCCTATGCATGTTTACTTGGAGGCAAGTCTACTATTTTCAGTGGGGCTTACTCCTAGATAAGTGTGTATAGCAAGGGTTCAAACCCTCATGCCCAGAAGGCAAACCAAACCCTCCAGAGACCCCAAATGAATCTTCCAAAGTTTCTTAGAAGTCCATACAACTCTCTCCAGGGACTTCCCTCTCTTTTCAGCACTGATGGTTTAGTAGCATTTGTGTACAGTTTCCCCCCTGTTCAAGAAGGTTGAAATGCCTCTTTTAAGGCTTTGTTACTGGCCACAAGAGCTTAAGCATAACGAAGTAGTGGTGTTGGCCCCATTCTTTATTCCTTCAACAGCCCCTACTGACTGTCTTTCACACACACCCACACACAGCTTCTCCAAATTGGAATTTGGCCCTTAAACTGAAAAGGTTCTGGACCCTCTGGCCATCTAATCCAAGCCCTCTCCCAAGAGAAAGCCACCGTCCCCTGTGAAGCCATGCCCCTTATCCGGGTTACAGCCACGAGAAGTGACCACCATCAGAGGTTTATATCCTATTCACACAACTATTTGTAAAAAATAAAGCTTTAAACATTTCTTGCAGAAGAAATATATTTCTCATTTTGCTTAGTGAATAAGAAGCATGACTAAAAACCTGTAGGGACATTTTTAACCTACAAAAGACAAGGGTAAATGCTGGAAAGGGAGTTGGACTACCAGGTTAGGAAATGGTAGCCCTTTTCTGGAGGCTCTGTTTGCTCTGTGTGAGTAGAAGCCTGTCTGGTGAGCAGAAGGGTCAGTTTTGTTGGGCCAGTGGCCTAAACAGTGGCCTGAAACAATTTGGTTAAACAGGTGAAGTTTCTCTGCAGTTTTATCTCCATGCCAGGAAAATTCTCACTTGTTTACTGTGCGATCCTACACAAATTCAGTCAGGAGTAAGTTCACCAAGTTCAATGGGACCGACCTCCAGGTAAATGTTGGACAGCAGGGATAGCCAATATTTTTGTACCTGTGGGTACATTTGAGAATTTGAGGAAACTGCTTTGTCCACCCCTACAAAATGCCTCAGTGCTTTATCATCTATCACCTCTGTGGATCTTAAGGTATGTTTTATTCAGCAAAAAGCGTTTATTACACTGTTGGATACGGCAACATTTCTTTAATAAAGAATTGATTGAATTCAGCTAATTGCTGTGTAATGCAGCCGAACACTTCTTTGGAACACT